CTTTACATAAGGTCTTGTAATGTCATATTTTCCTTATGTAGGTACAAGTTTTATCTTTTTATCTTTTATTTGTTTTTCCCATTTTATGATATTTTCTCAAGTTTTACATACATGTACTGTAAGTGCTAAAATTTGTCAAAACACTACTCCATGCTCCAAAAATAGCCTACCATTATATGTATTTTTGTTTTTATGGTGTTCTTGTTTCTGTAGAATTTCATTAAATAAAGCAATTTTCTAAAACAAAAACATTATGAGAGTAATGAAGTCTGACTTTCTTCATATCAGTGAGCACAATTCTGATAACAGAAAGCTGTTCTACAGACAAAGTAAACAAAATAAAGCTTACACTGGAAACTCTGGATGTACTCTGGTTTTACTCTAAATTGTATTAATTAGCCTACATGGACTGATAAATAATAAATAACAACTCTATGTCAGTGATGTTGAAGCTCAGTTTATTTAATCAGAGAAAACTGGTGACCATTAATTCACACTTTTTGATAAATTAATACAGTAACACCAATTTTACATGAAAATATAATGTCCTCTCAAAACCATGTATTGCACCCAATACAATAAAATAAAGGCAATAAATAACTTACTTTTAAATCCAAGTATCTGACTAGCTATTTTCAAGCATTCTTTCTAAAATAGAGCTTTCTGTCATAGAAAAATAAACTTTATTGTCAATAAATAACAATATTCCAGCAGACAAATGTTCCAGTCAATCTTTGCATGTTTGGCACTGTTATGTTTAGTCTTTGTTACCACTTCAAATGCTCACACTTCAATAAAAAAAGAAAACCTATAAGGCTCAATCCAACTATTGTTTCAGAAAGAAATTCATGAAATATCTTCAATCCAAAGATATAGATTCAAACAGGAATGTTAAATACATACAAGCAATGCAGAACTGATACAATAAATAAAAAWTTTGTGGTCAAACTAATCAAAAATCCTTGTTAGAACTGGAAATCGTACACTGAATGGGATTGGTCAAATCAAATATGACCAGTACAGTCCTTTAGACTGAATATATACATATAAAGAAGAAGATTGTCATTCAAAACCCAGAAAAACACGTCATCCACCATCTCTTTAAAGACAAGAAACACCTTTCTTGAAATTCTTGAAAACACCAGAGCAAAAGATAGACTGTACTCAGCATAGCTACAGCTAAAAGTCAAGCATATTATTTTGTATTTAGTATTATTCCCTAATGTTTGCAAGAGGTTCATGACACATAGGTACCAATAAACCCAGATTGTTTCATCCACACTGAACAGACATCACAAAACACTGGGTTCTAACTAGTTTGGGGTAGGGGGGTCACTGGCATGCTTGCAGAATGGGGGGAGGGAGGTTTCAGACATAATGGGTGAGAAAAATTCTGCATCATTGTGCAGCTCAGAGGTTCAGGATGTGATTGTGACCTAAAAAAAAAGCTACAGTAACTGGAAGCACAATCATTTAAAACACCAAAATTCACAAGAATTTCACCATAACTATCACAATGGTGCAGTCCTTGGAGGTTGGGATGCGGGGGTTTATTCTTGTTTAGTGCCGAAGATTTGGAGGAAGAAAGAGAAGATGTATACAATATCAAGGTAGATGCTCAGAGTGGCAAAGACATATTCCTCGGGACTCATGGTGTACCGCTTGTTCCCCATAAGTAGCTGGGTGTCGAATGCCAAAAACTGTAACAGGGAATTAAAAAGGAGAACAAATCTCTGTAATTTACTTGCCTCCTGTGTGCCAGTACTTTACTTTGTTAACATCAYGAAGGGCTCGGCTGGATTCTTACCATTGTAAAAAGAATGGCTCCCAGGATGGCGTATATGGCATCCAACCATGGGACCTGATTAGTACAAAAATAACTCAACTATAAGACAGTCCAGACAGTAAGAGAGCAACTCCAGCTCATATAAAATATGATGTGAACAATAATAATAATCTACCCTGATACATGTCTTCTGATGTGGAACTATATATTCTTAAAGTGAAAGTTCAGATATTCTGAATGGGATTCAGTGGAAAAGTTATGAACATTTATAAATGTGTCTGTTGTAGTAGCTTTCAAACGACATCATCACTGGGGTGGATGTATTGAAATAGGAGAGGATGGGTTAACTTACAAATTTTATTACAGTAACTTTGCTATTGGACCAGATGTTTCTACTCATCTACCAAAACAGCCTTATCCGCCCTGCACTTTTACAGTAGCGCCCTCTAGTGGTGAGAAGTAATAAGAACAACAAAACAGAACGTGTTGTGAAGGTTTAATTTTGACCCAGTTGACCAAAGTGGATCCCTCCTCTCCTAAAAGAACCCCAGTTTAAAAAATTTCACAGCAATTAATACAAATTACATTTTGTAAACAGTAAACAGTTGTATTCTTTACATTACAACTTTGATCTTTTAGTTTTAAATGTTAAAATTTTAGTCACTGGTTAAATTTAGGGACCTAATGAATAATCAGCTTTAAGAAAGAAATGATTATTTTTGATGCAAAGAGATCCTCAACGCACTCTTCTTTCTAGAATAAGCTTCATTTTCCTGTTTACAGTTGAGACAGTTCCTGTAACAGTGACATCATCAGCATATGGCTAAATGCCCACGGTGTCTGTTTCAGACATTAATGGGACGAGTACCTCACTAGTTTGCAAATGGAAAAATAAAACTAAGCTAAAGTGGTGATTTTATGCATTGAAATGTGATTCTAATGATGTCTGACCAAGTTGGCAGTGAAAACACCTAATCACCACTGAGACCTACAAGTTTATAAAGATATTCAGCTCAAGTTTTTAAAAACCCATTCAACATGATTTACTTTTTATTTGCATACGGTGTTTCTTATTATTTTACAATGAAATAAATGTTTTAAACAAAACCTGCACCTAAGCATTCAATAGAGCAGTATTTGTCCTCAGACAGATTACGGGATTGAATGATTAGCTTAATCTTACTTACATATTGAAAAGGAAGGACAATAGCCAGCACCAGTCCAGACACGAACATAACGATGCAAAAGATGAATAGTACACCTTGGCAGGAGGTCACATCAAACTGGAGTGAACACACAACATCAAGCACATGAATTGCATTGTCTGAATGCCAAAATCTGCATATATCAGACACTAAATGAGCAGCAGGAGGATAAATATTTGATTGATCTTACCTTAGTTTGGAAGCTGAAGATTGTGACGATGAGACAGACAGCTGCCGCGATGCCCAGACACATCACCACTGACTTGGTGTTGTAGTAGCTAATAAAACAACGAAAATGTGCAGGTTTGGATGCTTGCATTTTATGGATTATGCAAATTACAGCTCAACAGGAGTGCAGGTTATTTATCTGAACCACAAAACTACAACAACAGGGGTCTGCAACCAGCAGCATGTGGCTCTTTAGTCCCTCAGCAGTAGTTGTGACCAAAGATAACATAGAAATTAATCATGTTTATATTCATAACTTTATTAGAAAAAGCCCTTTTTAAAAACAAATTTCTTGTCCAAATTCTTTTTAAACAAATCTGAAATTTCTGCGGCAAAATGATGGCTCGGGGATTAAAACAAATTGATCAGTTTGCACTAATAGCTTGTTAGCCTGTCAGCTAATTAATTAATTTAAGCCATGCAGCGTTATCTTCCTCTGAAATGCACCAGAAAAGGTGTAGGTGCACTTTTGCGCACATATTCAGATGATCACATTCTGGGTTGTTCAAGTTGAAAAGAAAAAGGTTTACAAAAAAATTGGATGTGATATTTGCAAACTCCTGTGCTATATCACGTAAACTCAGGAAGGTTCATAAAAGATGAAAACAGAACATACCTGGACAACATCCCTGTCATGTAGGAAAGGGACAAGGTCTGTAAATAGGAGCAAATGCATCAAATGAAAACATGATCCAAATTTTCTATAAGTTATCTGTGAAATTCATGTATTTAGGATCTACTCTTTACTTACAAAGATGGCAAGCAGAATCAGATTCCATGGAAACTGTCTCCTGCAGGAATAAGCAGCATGTTGGGTTTCAGTGTTCGAGGTCATTTGCAAGTGGTTCATTCAGGTTTTAGAAACACGAGTTTACCTCGGTGCAGAGCAGCAAGAAAGAATCAGGTAGGTGACAAAGAACACAGCACTGTCAAAGTAAAAGCAGAACTATTGTTAGATTTGGACATATACTTGAATATTTATCAGGAAAGAAGTTGTGTCATTTAAACAAGACATGTGTTTCTAATTAAACTTACTATGAAGCCCAGTACCACCCAGGGTTAGTTTGAATGTAGTCTCTCACAGGGTCGCTGAAACGTGCAGACTTGCAATGAGTATACATCTCAGTGAACTGGTTGAATCGTAATGAGAAGAAATGAAATCATAATTCTAAGACTCACCAGAATGTAAAAAGAGCCACAATGGCAACTGTCACCAAAAGCTGGGTCATCAAGATGGTGTACACCTAAAAAAAACAATTAAATCAGAGTAAATAATCAGATCACATCACTGTGCTGTGGGCATGAAAAGTATATTAATGCTCATTCTGATTAGTTTATTAGAGATTCACAACAATAAACGTCGTGTATTTGACATAAATGCCTTGAGGTACCTTCCGAATGAAGACTCTCCTGATGTTGTGGTCATCCCAGGTGAACTCTGTGAGCATCTCAACGTCATTGTAGCAAGGAGCACTGGCATCTGAAGGACATGTGATCACAACTGTCAAATTTAGTTGTAAACATATCGAAACACGTTGAGTGAGAAGAACAGTGAGGTCCGACCTGCAGTGGCCTCTTCATATGTAGGGGGAGCAGGAGCCACAAAAGCCTGTCCACTGCTGGGGTCACTGGTGGCTTTGTTAGCAAGTGACAGCTGAATGGATCAAGGGTGAAAAACACGGTGCTATCTTATTTTTACAGTCTAGTTTGTTAGGTGAAACATTTGAGTGTTTCAACAAGAAAATATCTACTTGAAGTCTTCAGCATAAAATATTTCAGGTTATATTTATGATGTATTAAGCTTTGCCTGATAGCGTCACTATAATAATTAGCACAGTTCCTGATAAATAAGCGTAAACGGATCCCAAAATGTATAATTCATAGTTTGCAGGATGACAGATCTTCTGGAAGATGCTTGAGTGGCTCAGTTGCGGATATTTGATTACTGCCACTGTTCTTGGGTTACAATAAAGTGCTGTTCAAATTGGCTTCGGAATTGTGTTCAATTTATTCTTTACTCTAGAAATAACTTTACACAATAAGGAGTATTACAACCCTCAAAGGGACAACTTGAATGTGTTTTCACTTCTGTATCAGAGCCTTYACTGAAAGTCAAACACCTGAGTTTGATGATTTATTATTTCACTGGGCATATTTAAAAAAAAACTAACTTTGAATCATTTAGAGACTGCAGGTAGATTCTGTCATAWATGTGCAGATGTGACAGAATAAAGTGATGTTTGGTATGAACAGCTGAATAGTTTTGGTCTCTCAAAGCATCAATTCATAAATTTGAGGTTTTCAAATCAAGATCATAAAAGACAAAGGTTGTCAACGACTCACTAATAACTGAAAGACACTTTAGAGTCGAGTTGATCGAAGCAGTTCAGAATTTTGTCTGTTATTAGCTTTAATACACTTTATTAGAGCTTTCCTCAGAACTTTGTTAAAACATATTAACAAACACACAGGAAACAGTGAAGAAAATCATCTTCAGGGTTTTGACTCAGCTGTTCTCAGAGAATTAGATGCTTAAAATGTGTATTAAAAATAAACTGTAATAATGTTACTGTAAATAGATGCTAAAAAATATGAAACATAAAAGGTATGAGCCTTTTCTTTTTTGGGGTGGTAGGTAGGGGGGCTGAGAGGAGTCATGGTGACACAGTTCAATCAGCATCTCAAATAAGAGCAATAAATTGACTATAATAGACCTAAATAAAAGTCTATTTAACTAAATGTGTTTCTAGACATCACCACTGATCAACAGCATTGAGCCCATATAGATTTTGTTACACGTCAAATTGGTCATTCAAATAATCATTTGACAAATTAAACAACTCTTACCCATTATACTGACAGCTTTTAGGCATTCAGGGCAGAAGTAAAGGTTTGTTACGCAGTAATGTAAATTCAATAATTAATAACCTTTATCTGCTTACAATAAACAGCTGAGTTGAGCTCATCCATACCTTTCCCTGCGTCATGATGCCTCTGTTGTCCTGCAGGCTGCTTTCAGATCTGTTTCCTTCTCTTAACGTCTGCTCCTTAGAGTCAAAACTGAGGACTGACAGCTGAGACCAGACCTCAGACTGATGATGATGCCCACTATTTCCTGCTGAGACTCGGACCCCCCCTCCTTCCTCCCCTCAGCCCTGACGACACGCTGATGTAATCGCCAAACAAACACAGCTCTCACCCCCTCCTCCTCCCCAACAGAGGGAGGTTCTAGCAGCATCCAGACGAGCTGCACCAGGACTGTACCACAGCGCAGGGGAGAGTTGGGTGTGTGTGTGTGGACCTGTGTGGATCTGCACGGTGTGTTTTGGGGACAGAAGTCTAGAGAAATCTGGAAGTATGGTCTACAGCTGACCCAGTGTGTGTGTGTCATTGCATAAACTTAAAATATTTGGAAAATTATCTGCTTAGATGTTATATTTTGAAAGCGATGTTTTGAGCAACACTTACTGAATGAGTCCAAAATGAGATGCTGCACTTTTTAAAAGCATTTTTACATAAACTACCTGAACTTCACATGTGGATATCACTTGTTTTGACAAGAAAACATGTTATATTAACATTTCTCATGTGAACTACATGTGTGAATTTGAAATAACTTGTAACAGGTTCATAAGCTTACATGTAAACACAGGTTAAATTCATAGTTTTTTTTCTTTAAAGGTTTGGACAACGCACCATAAAACAGCTACAAGTACAAAAAAAGGCATAAAAAATAAAATAGCAGTGTGTTACAAACAGATGCTCTTTTATTTAAAAGTGTAAAGAAGAGAGACATCTTAGAAAAAAACAAACAAAAAAAAGAACCCAAAAACAAATTTAAAATTACCGAAAGGGTATTTAAAGTAAAAGAAAATACATACAGTACAAGACAAATAAAAAGACAAGGAAAAACAAGCACTGTGAACTTTCTGCAAGAAGAAACATTTAAATTCTGATCAACATGCTAGCCATGGCTTTACTTCTTTGGCTATTTATCCAAGTCTCTGTTAAAGTCAAACACAAGCTGTTTTTAATGAACCATCTTTGTTGCTGAATGACGTGTCCATCCTTCACATCATGTCATCTCCATACAGATGGACATAATGAGGTAATGAAAAGTTTTCTGGGAGAATTCATGGAATGGTTCAGGAGCATATTATTCATCCGTTTGTTTTCAACAAATGAAGGTTGGCGTGGCCATGTTCCCAAAGCACTTTCACACAGACAAGAATATAAACKCTTATAAATAAACTAKGAACTAATCTGAACTAAGTTGAGCCACTTTTGTTGGTTTCTTCATTTGGCAAAACGTGGACTAAAGTGTTCTCCAAAGTAAAATATTCAATGTTTAGTCCGACAAAATTGAAATACTCAATGAGTTAATCGTAAACTKATGTGTGGAGTGAGTTTTTTTTAACTACATCTCCCCCTCCCCCCTTATTCCCTCCAGTCTCAGGTCTGTGTCGTTTCTGCCCAGGGTGAACAGACTAACGACAGCCATCAGAGCTGCCAGCATCATGACAGCACAGCCTCCGAACATGTGCCTGGTGCCGCCGCCCGCCTCTCCCCCGCCTGTCCCCGACACCTCCCCGTGCAGCGCCAGCAGTCCTAAGCAGGCCAGCAGGTGCAGAGGCAACCGGAACCAGGCCAGCACACCGGCTCGCTTCTCCTCTGGGATTACTCTGCCCTGCAGAAAGCTGACTGAAGGGAAGTACAGGCCACAGGCCAGCTCCAGCAGCAGGAACGCCAGAAAGGAATCATGGGGTTTGGGCTGTCCCGGCACGGTGGAAAAGGTGAGCATGAACAACGAGAAGAAGGCCATGAGTACAGCGAGACAGAGCAGGTGACCGGGCTGCAGGCGGTAGCGAGTGGAGGTGGCCAGGCGGTACAGCAAGGAGCCAACCATACTGGCAGCCATTAGGCAGGAGAACACGATTCCTAAAGGAGGCCCGTGAGGGTCTAGTACTGGGGTCCACAGGAAAACAAAAATGTAGAGAACACTTTCAAACAGAGCCTGCACCCCGCCCAAGAGCAGAACTCTCCTGTCTGACAGCAGGCAGCGCAGTCCCTCAGAGCAGCTGCGTGAGAATCGCTCTTTTGCAGACAAACGAGCAACACTTCCATTAGGGGTTCCAAGTAAAAGAGTTTGTTTGTCCCCTTCGGGGCCTCCTTCAGCCTCCTCCTTTCCCCATTCTGTTAGGACCACCCACCCGCAGCAGGCCAGAAAGGGAACAGCCAGCAGAAAGGGAGCCACTGGCCCCAAATGGAGCCATTCAGCCAGCAAGTTAGCCACTAGTCCAGCTCCCACAGCTAGGCCATGGTTCCAGGTAGCAGCTTTGGCGAAGGTGCTGGGAATCCACTCCTTGGGAAAATCGTGGACCTCAACGTGTCGGTGCACGTACCAGGCTTCAAATGTGGTGGCAAGCAGGGATGTTGACAGACCCCCCAGGACACGGCCCACAATCAAAACAAAATAGTCTCTGGAAAGCTTGGTGAGACAACAAGCTGAGTAGGACACGCAGAAGAGAAGACAGGTCTGTCGGCGGCCAAAAACTTGATGGAGCCAGCCAGAAAAAGGGGCAAACAGTACGCACGAGGCCAGGCCACATACATACAAAATGGCTATTTGGGATTCCAGGAAGCTGTAGTGGCGATACAGTTTGTAGAGGTAAGGACCCTGGAGCCAGTCTGCCCACAAAGCCAAAAGGTACGCTTGAAGGAATATTCTCTGGAACCGCCGGAAAGCTGGGTTGGCCACAGCAGTAGGAGCAGACTGAGGTGGTGTGAGGCTGCGAGCTGTAAATTCCAACCCAACACAGAGGGCCAACAGGACGATTATAGCAAAGTAGGCTGTCACCAACATGTTGTTTATGCACAGCAACTCCTTGAGGTCAAAGCTGAGTTTTTAATGCGTTTCCCACAGCTGTCTTACTGCTTCTCTGCACCTATGGAAAAACAACAACAGAGAAGTACTAAGTAACATTCACACTGAATAATTGTCCCTTTAGTTAAATATTGTTGCCACTCTTTTTTGATTAGTCAACAACGACTATGTAACATACATTTTACAAGTATAAGCACATGTACAAGTATAAGCACATGTACAACAAAAAAGTTATTAACACAAGTAAAATTCACTTTAGAGCGAACACTGTATCACTAAGCTAACCTGATGCTAACAAGAAAATGAGCGTTTTCATTTTAGAGATAAATTCTTAAATTAATTTCATTTACTGTCTCATACAATATTATACCTCTTACCGTAATATATGACAGCGATCCCATAGTATATATGCCGTTTAGCAATTACTAATTTCGAAGAAGTAAATAATATAAAAATACAGCAAATGTAGCGAAACAAACACTTCCTGGATCCGACTCCGCACCGCTGACGTAACAGGAAATGCATTTCAATGTAGCCTATTTACCAATTTTTTTTATTTTTTATTATTATAATTAAAAAAATGTTTTTGCATTTTTGCTATTAGTTTGGTTTAAAAATGGTAAAAGCCAGAAGTGACTAATTAGTTTGTGTTTTTTTCCTTTTCATTTGAGAACCCTCCATACTGTATCTATCACAGATGAATATAAAATATGCACCCACTACTATATATCCTGAAAAAAAAAATAGCCACGAAAAATTATGTTTTGCTTCCTAAGATGGATCAAAAAAAAATTTGGGAGCAGCGGTAGAAGATTTTCAGTTTCTGTAAATTCAAAAAAGCGTGTTTGTTGTWTTTCTCCAGAAGATGGCGCCCTTACCTTAGGCCTATTGTTTCACCTACAGACTGTCAGTTGTGCGTATTTTTCAATTATTTTTGGGTTATCTTTCCACTAAATGGTTGAAAAATTATTAAATTGTACCTGTATGTATCTGGCCACTTTAGTCACTGATTTTCTACGCAACAAATAATTAAATACAACATTAGCCTACTGTAGCCTACTTTGTTGCATAAATAAGCAGTATAAAATGACTTTTTATAATCCTTCTGTTGAATATGCATCTTTACAATAAATGCTTCAAGAAATMTGAATAGATGCACACATAAGTTCTTAAAGTGAAAGATAATGAGAACACAACTTTAAAATAAAATTAAATGTGCATCATTGTTGTTTTTTGTTAATTAGGAAGTTGATCCCATTAAGCAATTCAGACCTGAGCAGTGATCATCACCTAAACCAATCTAYTGTTTTCAGTACCTAAATTGAGCAGCATGTTACAACTCTGTGTGATCAGTAACAGAGCACCAGTCCTGCACAGTGCTTTGAATAAATTTGCATTCACTGACTTTGTTATGGAAACATCTTCCTTTTACAGCAATTATCCCCACATCGTTGTCTGAACTATGACTTTAACATTTCTAAAACTTGACATGACACTTTCTTAATGAATCTTGGAATAAAATGAGTGCTTTCAGTTGTTGTGGTATGACCTAGTTTCTCTCGAAGGCTCAGTTCACAGACACATGAAGACATAGAGTCATCCTAGGATTCATATTGGATTCCTTTACTTTTGATAGATTGAAAAATGGAAGCAAAACAGGCTCAAGTCATGTTCCAATTACCTCCAGAATGCAGAGTTGTCCTTTCTCAATCTGTATGAAACCTATACAAACAAAAAATATATATTTTGACTATTTTAGAAAGTTAAAATAAAGCTAACTTTTCCTTTTATTTTAAGTTGACCTTATTAGCATCACCTTTCTCAAACTGCAAATTATTTTAATACTCTATTTTACTTGTCCTGATGCATCTCAGTAATCAAGGTAGAAAAAAATAAAAAATAAAAAAATAAGTAGGTCCTCTGGATGGGTTCTTCTTTTAGTGAAACGTTTCGTCTCTCCTCCAAGAGACTTCTTCAGTCTGATGAGTTTCAGGTGAACTCAGCCTTATAAGCACTGCCTCCATATGGACAAAGGTTAGTCACATGCAAAAGAGGGCCATCGCCTAACAATAGGCTTKATTAGCTCTRTTTWRTCACATGCAAAAGAGGGCCATCGCCTAACAATAGGCTTGATTAGCTCTGTTTTACTTGTTTTCTAAAGAAAAACTAGTAACATCGCCTCTCCTTCCCTATATTTCCCTTAATGAAATGAAGACACAGGAGCAGATGGATACATAATTTGAACTTTATATCATTGAATTGTTTCTATTTCAGAGGAAACATTTACAAATTGTACAAGATGTGCTCAATAAGTCTTCATCAAACAGGCAAACAGTGAGAGGACCAATCAAAGTAGATTTTTTTTACTCCAAAATATCACTTTTGTTTGTATGACAAACATTGGGGCAGAGGAAGGGTGCATGAGAACTGAGTGCTGGTGATATCAGGGATTATGCTGGTTGGATACATTATGTAATATTAAGAAGCGTGCCCAGGTCATCTGAGAATCCCTACAACACACTCTCTTGTGCAGTGTCCTCTTGGCACAGACCCTACTGAATACATACAGAAAGGTGAATACATTCTTTTTCCTTTTTTTTACATCAGAATCTCATACAGTTTATTCATTTCATTAAATCTCTTCAGCAAATTATACAAATATATTAGGGCAACCTAGTATTTACAGTGACAAAAATAAACATAGGAGCTCAAAAGTCCAAGGGAGTGTCTATCAGTTCAGGTGTGATAAAATACAGTGATACAGTAAAATTGCAGGTGACTCGTGAAGTTACTGTGTTAAAACCCAAACGTGCCAAATGATTGATGATGATGAAATTWGTAAAACACTGCGTTGTGCACAAGCAACACATGAAAATAGTGGTCTCATTCCTGTGCCAATGCAGGTGTGTTTGAAAAACAGACACAKTTGCCTCAATGTTGCATGTTTCACACATATCATATACAGATTTACTTTCTTTTGAATGTAAACTTAAACACAGTCGCTTAAAACCAATGGTCCCTAGGTCATATGTTTTGATCTGCAATACTCATTTAGCTGCTGCAGCTTGTAAGTGATGGACTGATAAATGTGAACTGAACGTTATTCTTAATTACACTGGAGATAATTAGGAAATGAACAAACGATCTGTCCAAACGGTAATGATAACTCGACTAAGTATGTTTTCAACTATGTTCTAYTCAGAAACAATGCTTCCCAGTAGGTGAGATTTATGTATGTACATGGGTTTGTATGCGTCTTCACATGTTCTGTCTCAAAACATTGCATGAATGTCAAGAGTGAGTCCAAAATATGTCCACTGCCGTTATAAAAACACTCTTATTGCACAAATCCTCGCTCCTCATTGTTAAAGGAAGTCTTGCTCTTGTAAAATAAAATCTACACGCATGGTTGTGCGTGTGTTTGCTTCCATGTTAAACAGCTGCATTCCTTAAGGGTCAATGCGAAAGGCCAACAGTTTGTCAGAATGCAGGTTATTGAGGGTTCGCAGGTCCGGCAGACGCAGGAGGAGCTTTGGGAAGAGGGAGGTGTCGTCTGGGCGACGGCGACTGATGAGAGATCGCAGGGCGCGGATCAAACCCTCCTGTAGCTGCTCCACGCCTTGCATGTCTGAGATCCCAGAGCGGTCTGAGAAGCACAGAAGTGGATTAGGTCGGTGGTTAGAACTTGGCTCATGAATGGTTGTGCAACACACTCTTACAGCTTTGCCACATTTCTGCCCGATCCCTTTCTCACCTGCAGATACCAGCACCACAGCCATGAAGAGGGCCATCTCATCGGGCTCCAGCCCCAAGGCACCCAACTTCTCACTGAATTCAAACATTGCATCCAGCAGAGATCCCATGCCCAAAGCCCGCAAGGTGGACAGAGGGTAAGTTTGGCCATTCAGGAAGGTCACTGTACGCTCCTCAGCGTTGAACAATGTGCAAAACCTAACCATAAGAACCTAAAAAAATAATAAAAATAAAACATATTTAGATGCATAAAGAACAAGATGCATAATTTTGAATTTGGGTGTGCAATAATAATAATAATAATAATAATAATAAT